TATTTATAAAAAAAAACATTTTTTTGTAACACAAACTACACTTACTAATATGATTAATGCGTTCTTTTGGTCTAAAATACTTTTTTTATAATTACTTAAAAGTCACCAAACAAAAAGAAAAGTATTGAAATACCTGGAACATAAAGAGTGAAAAATTAGCCTTCTAGACTATTTTTAATGAATTAATAATATTTTTCTTACAACAAAACTGCTGCTTTGTGTAAAAATAGCGATAATATTTAAATGACGCATTTAATTTTTTGTAACCAAATCGAAAAATCGCACGAAATTTACCGTCACTTTGCTGCCAGTATCTGTATATGCGTCATATTGTAATTAAAAGTTATAACACTTTTAAATTAAACGAAAAACAATAGCTTCCGCTCAAATGAGAAAACTATTATTTAAATAACAATAAACTGTATAAGAAGTTTAATGCCAAATCGCCAACTGTTTTGGTAATATTAATATTTAAACCAGCTTTTTTAACGCGTCAATGTCAAGCAGTTAGAATAGAGTGCGAATTTGGTGCACTTTTTATTACAGCCATATGTATACTCGTATATATATGTTGAAAATACAGTGTTGGTCGAAATTATAGCGCTTAGTATACACATTGCGCATGGAAATCTTAAGATAGAAGAATCTTAAGTCATGACTTGTTTATTTTAGGCAAAAACTTTAAATTTTTTCGCAAATATTAATGTTTTTTGGTCGCTACAGATGTGCTATACGATTTTTCTACTCGTCATAACTTTTGTTTTCAAACGCCTAGCTCTTCAATAGCTGCCAAAATATGTTCTTTCATAAGTCTCTCCAGTTTTGAAAATAGAAAAAAAGTCGCTGAGAGGTTATTTCGTTGGCTGAGACACACTTTTTTGTGGTGTTTTTTTGTTTTTTTTTTTTTTTTGGTAACGTCTCACGCTTAAGCAATGATTAATGACCAGTTTCGCCGATTTAAATTTGGTTGATGCGTGTATACACTTTGATGATGAGGTATATAATTGCTTTCTGCGTGCACCAATTGACCCATTAAGATCGTAAGCAACTTCTCCAATGGTGATCCGATGGTTATTAAGACATCTACACCACCTTATTTTATTCACTGCTTCAACATTATCAGCAGTTTTTGACATCTTCGCGATCTACTTGGGAAAGCGTGTGCCATTTATAAAATATTTATATGCAAAAATAACAAAAACAATACCTCCAGCTGCACCGAAGATCTTCATTTTATTCTTCCCTGGTGCATTTTTTTATATACATATATGCAACATAAAATCGTACAAAACGAGGTTAGATCATCAATTTTAATAACCCTACATATCTGACACCACTCCCCTATGGTCCAACCTCGTCGAAACAGCACGTTTCGTGGGCCTGCCGTTGGCCACGATGACAACTTATCTAACCGTTACAACACCAACAACAACTTTATATTATCTTTTGATCAGTTTGTATGGCAGCTATATGCTACAGTGGTTCGATCTGAACAATTCGTTTGTAAATTGTATAATTAGCTATTGACAAGGAATACATGCTCAATGTCGTGATAATATCTTCTAAAATAAAAAAAAGTTTTCCTTGTATTTATTTTCAATTTGGTGACTTTTATAGTATTTACACGTAATATTAAAAAAATATAATAAAATTAACTAATTTTCGCACAACGCCATTCGTTTAACCTGCAGTAATCTAGTCTAACAGTCTCAGCATAATTTTCTGAAATTAAATTTCTGGTTTACTGGGTATACAGAACAGTTCACAAGTGTAGCATATATAAATATGTTTTAATTTTTGGTTTAGGGTTATATAAAATTTTTACATATACTGGTACTGAAGCATACCAAAGCAGCGTCTCGACACAAATCGAATTTTCATAGTAATTAAAATACAAAAAAAAACACTTAAACTTTGTGCAATTTTGGTATCGTCTCAAAACGCGTACGCTTGCGCGCGCACAGCAATTCGACACCTACACACATACTCACACACGCGCCAGTGACCTTTCAATATGTGTAACTACATAATGTATTTACCGAAACCTTTGGACTATAAACAATAAATTTTCAATTGACTCTTAATTACTCTTCAATTAATTTTCCTTACTTTTTTATAACGTTTGATTTTTAATCGTTAACTTTAAATTGCATATAATGCAATTCTTTAATTGTAACTACTCCCACACACAACTTTGTTGAAAACCATTTTCCCATTATTATTTTTTTTTGTTTTTTTCATTTTCAAAATTCATGCATTGCTTTACTGCAACAGCGCCAAGCAATGAGAACACAGTAATGTTTCATAATGCTTCTATTCAACCTTACATGTGTCTCTACATACATACGTACATGCATGCATAAATTGCGCGTGTGTGTGTGTGTGTTTTACGAACAAAAGCAACACAGCGTCCAGTTTGAGCGCTCAACTTTCGTTATTTCTCAGCTTAAACTCCGCTCATTAAAAAAAAACACACTCACTTGATTTTCTGATATGTCAAAATTTTGGAAAATCATTTCCCTGCCTCCCGACTTTTCTCAAGCCACAGTCAATATTCACAAATACATAGAGAGTTTTCAGTTGCCACATTCTAGTTTGGCCAATCGAAGTGTCTCTCTTTACATGACATATGTATGTACATCTTTTTTCTCATCCATCTTATATACAACAACAAAAATACCACCTAGTCCCCCGTTCCCCCACTTACTCTTTTGTGTTTTTTTTCTACTACTGCTGCTGTTCTTTTTTAACTGAAAGAAATCTCTTCTTAATTCTTTAATTTTCTAGCTTTTATGCTTTGCTACACACAAGACGATGCCAATGCTGAAGGAGGTATGTACCAGTTACTTTACTGTTGTTTATACGTTAACCACATACTACTTGCATATATAATTTATCGATATAAAATTAATATATATAATATATATATATATACATTACTATATACTCTAAACAACTCTTTATCTCTACAAACATACTACTTACTTTGATTTATGTAATTTTTAACTGTAGTTTCACAATAGATTTGCTCATTTCCTTTGATTGCTCTTAATTACTTATTATAATTGCGTAATTTTTGTTTTTCCTACCAATTACTTATATTCGTATATGCCTAGTACTTGTACCATCATTATCACGTACAATATGATTTCCTTGTTTTGAGTAGGCCTTCAATCACCAAATGATTAATTCTTAGCGCTAATAACATATACATATGTACAGTTATATATAAACATAATGTACAGTACAATTTGCGACTAACCAAACCAATGTAATACAGTCAGTAATTGCAGTCATATACAAGTATATACTTTTGCATCGTTAGAATTTTATTTATTTTTATCAACCATTTATTATATATTACATACATAATACAACATTTTATATTTTAATTTTATATAATTTTGAATATAAATATACATATATATTTTTTCAACCGCTTAGCAACACGCTAATGATTTTTAAATTGAATTTCGACACAACTTTATGATCAAATATATTTTATTTACTTCTTATTGGCAGCGCTGTTTGCGAACCATTAAATGTTGGGTTAATCTGATAGGCCAATAAGCCACGCATAGACCAGTTTGGTCTTTTGCGATACCAGATGGAGTTCACCTGCTAAGTCCAAGAGCAGTAGTCATCCTATAGAATTTTAGTATATTCTATTGATACCTCCTCCAGTGTATCATACCGTGGGGACCCCCAGATGCTTACAGCGTAGGCTTGCCAATACGGGACAAGTGTACAAAAAACGCTCCATTGTTTCCCTAGTGCCCTGCTCTAGACATTTCTTGGAGTCTCGTTCTATCAGTCCCATCCAGTGGGCGTGTATCGCCACCAGGCAGTGACCAGTTAGTATTCCCGTCATGTTCTTTTACAGTCTCTTCTATGAAGTGCCAATAGGAATTTTGTGTACTTCAAATCTACCGTTTTGCACGTGGAAAGTCGTTTTATATTGAAACCCTTTTTTCAATTATTTGAATTTCTTGTCTGTAGGTAAGCATAGTATAGGAGAAAATTCGATAGTTGATTTGAAAAATCTCCAAAAATTATTATATTAAAAAAATTCAGATATATTGAAAGTCCTTGTACAACTTTGTTCATAATTGTAAAATTATTAATTTATTCTTCTATTATATGTGGTTCCCTTCAAAGTAATTGCCTTTGCCTTCAATACATTTGTGCCAACGGATTTTCCAATCCTCGAAAGACAATTTCTGGAATTGCCTTCAATGCGCATGGCGATTTATATCTTCAATTGATTCAAAAACTTTTCTGCGGAGCGATCGTTTGAATTTTCTGAAAAGCCAGAAGTCACACGAATAAGAATCGAAGAAAACTGTCAACATAACCTTGATTTTTAACTTGCCTTGACGTAGTATTTTTCGGCCTCGGTTCACCTTTGTCTCGATATTCGGCAGTCGATTCGATTGGTCGTCTGTACGCGGGTCGTAATCATCGCCAGTAAGAATACGTTTCATGACATCCGGGTAGTCGGAAAGCATTGTTTGACAGATATTAACGCGACGCTGTTTTTCGATAAAATTAAGTGATTTTGGAACAGAAATTTAAATTCAAAAGTCTTACCATTTTTTGCACACAGTGGTATAATATTTTTAAACTTGTATCTCTTAGGTGCAAAATCATTTCTCCTCTTTTTTGCCTTGCAAAAATGCTCTAATTTCATTTTATTGGTCGTTTTTACTTATTTTATAAAAAATTACAAAATAAAAATGATTTGCGAGTATAAAGGTTTTGCATAGTCGATGGAATCCCTTCCCTTCCCTTTTTATTGATCTCTGACAGATGATTTCTACTGGACTTTGTATTCAGGAAACAGCATTTATTTTTCTTCAAATGGACCCGTTTTCCGTTTAATAATCGTTGTTGACTGTTTCTTCTTTTCAAGATGCTGGGTTACTACTAACTTGTTCGTCGAACAGTTATATATGTATATATAAATTATAAGCATGACAGCTGATGAGACATGTCTGTTTGCAGATCCTCAGTTTTTTAGATTGCACACACAATCTACTCCACAAGAGGCTGCTCATTTGTTGAAACGGTCGATATTGAACCAATATAAGATATGCCTGCCATACAAACTGATTGATTAGAATAAAGTATTTGTATGGAAAGCTGCATTATTGGACAAGGTATCTTGACGAAATTTGACATAGATAATTGTGTAAGGCAATGCCAGATCTCCAAAGAAGTTGTTAGATCGGACGACTATAATAGCACATATTTAGCTGCCATACAAACTGAACGACCAAAAACAAGATAAATATCTTTTTATATCCTCTTATGCTAGAAGAAATGTACCTGTGAAGGGTAATAGCTTCGGTGTAACCAAACTTAAAGTTATTTGAAAAACAAATTTTGACAAACAAAATTATAATTCTTTAATAAATTTTTATATTTTGTTTTAAAAAAAAATAATAATAATTTTTAATTTTCAAAAATAAAAACTATTTTAATATTCACTTGCATTCATATACACCCATCAAAGTACACTGATAAAAATCAACTGTAAATATACATATGTAGATATGAAAAATATTTATTTTTACTCATTATGCGTGCATAATCAAAATAATTAATTTTCTTATATTATATTTTTTCATAATTATTTAAAGCGTACTCATAAATATTTGTAAGAACATAAAAATATTATATAAAATCATGTATATTTGATTTAACAAATAACAAATATTGCATATATTTCTATGTCGTATGCGTTACTTTTATGTATTTTTTAATGATTTACACACACCAATGCTATTTACATATGTACATAAATACCGTACAGTACTCGAATACTCATGCTCATGCCCTGTCCAAAAGCTTTCAGCTTGAGCAAAGAACGAATGATCTTCGTGCATACATACATATATGGGTTTGTATGTATGTATGTCATCTTCAGTTGGAAAAAATTGGAAAGAAAGATAAAAAAAATTGTTTTTTAGAGGAAAATTTTCAAAGAACAGTCAGAATACTTGTACACTGCGCTTTAAAGTGTGTTTGTGTTTTTTTTCTGCGGAAAGTGGATGAAAACATTTCACTGTGCTTTTAACGACAAAATTCATTAAATATTCCAGTGTACATACAGCATCTGTTTACTATAAAATTGGCAAACTCTTTAATGTGCAAACATATACGCCGCCGATCCGCTCCACCCCCGCTTGGCTTCTTGTCCTGCTGCATCTGTGAGCGATCGCTACATTCATTATTATTGCTTTTTAGCTTGGCGAATTCCGGCAATTTGTTTATACACTCGTATATACTCGTATTGTATCTGCTGTGGCTTATTTGTTGTTTGCTTTTTTGAAAATATTTTGTTTTCTTTTTCATAATTTATTGTTTTTTTTTTTTAGAATGTTGTGTATTTGTGTATTTTATGTTTCCTTTTATCTCTCTTCTGAATATAAGCTTGCCGACAGCCTCTGTGTTGTAACGACAAAAACCTGTCGTAAGATTTCGGTACAGCTATGTACTTAATGAACGCTGTCGTCTTTGTGCCAGTGTGTCTTAAAAGCATGAAAAATTTATGTAATACTTCAGAGAGTCGCTATAAGAATTGAAAATTTGTTTTCTTTTAATAAAAAGTGATTTTATTACATGTGTTTCGGCTAAGAATATAATAGGGAGGCTTTATTGCCTTTTTCGAAGTACTTACAATTGTTATGAATCAAAATTGTTACTAAGATAATATTTTATATTTTCTCGAAAAAAATCTCAAATTGTTCCATTTTTATTAAGTTTGCCATGAAGTTTGTAAAATCCAGAAGGAAACGTCCGGGATAAATGATGGTCGAAAGCGAATCTTTATATCATATATTTGTCGTACAAACGACCCTTCAAAGTCAATATAAATAAATGTCTTTTTAAATCCATTTTTGATATAGGAAATGCATCTGTAAAAAATATAATAGCTTCGGCGCAGCTCAAGTTAACGTATTTTCTACTTTTCAAAGATAATATTTTCAATAATCCCAAAACTGTACTTCGAGGTTCCTTAATTTTTGAAAGAAAAAACACAAAACTTCAAATTTAATGGGGACTGTTTATTATCATTCGAAAGAACATTCTTTGGCATTTATTTTTTGAAGATTCTCTCTTTCAAATGTTGGCCGCGGCTACATCTCAGATGGTCTGATGGGCTATCCGTTGAGTCCAATTTTTCATGACTGGTGCGAGCATTTCTGCTAACTAGCGAATGACACTTGCGATGCTTTGCCCATATATCCCCATAGGATAAAGTGTAACGGTGTGATATCACACGATCTTGTTGGCCAATCGACCGGCCCATAATAATGTGAAATTATCTGCTCACCGAAGTGTTCACTCAATAAATCCATTGATTGATGGAATGTGTGGTATGTCTTGTTGAAACGGCGAACGGTCGTCGTTGACGGTTACGTTCTCTCTCACCTCTATCATTTTTGAAGAAATAAAGACCAATTGTTCCATCGGCCTATAAACCACATAAAACCATTGTTTTTCTAGTTGAAATTGCAGCTCTTGAATTTCTTTATGCTGCTCTCGTTCCAAATGCGGCAATTTTACTTGTCTACATACTCATTGAGCCAGAAATGAGCCTTATCGCCCAACCAAATTTGGCTCGATGGCGTCGGATCTTCTTGGAACTTTTCAAGATCTTATAGGGCGAAGCGCTATCGCATGGAAAGGTCGAGTTGCTTCAGTTCTTGCATATGTCAGTCCGATGTGCTGCGAACGCGCCGAATCGACTCTCCACAGTCTACATTTTCTTCACTGCCAGCTACACGTGGTCTATTGGGTCGAATAATATCCGATAAGGAGTGATGGTTAAAAAAAAACCTCTACTTGGATACCCATTATATTTATTTAGCTATTTTTGATATCTTACTAGTCATCTAATGAGAGCTTTGTGAGTGAATCAATTTCAAGACCTGAAATCTAACTTCTCCTATAATATCATAATATTAAGTAGTTTGAGAGTAAAATGTTTCATCTTCATTTATTCCTATAATGTCTTTTGTTAGAAACCCGATCGTTTATGACTTAAAATAGCAAACTTAGACAAACTTCTTTTAAGTTTTTCGATTTGTGTGAAAACAGACAACTATTTGCTCTTATCTAAACTGGTTGATTTCAGCAAATTACTTACTCTCTTGGGTTTTCTGCAAAGTGTATCTATTTGTTAGTTCGAAATAGAGGGCTTAAGATCAAGCGATGATCACTTATTTTCGTTTGTTTTAAAATACATATTTTCCATGCTTCCAAATGCGGTGAAAGCGAGTTCCAAATTATCACTAGTGGTTTAAGTAAATTCCATAGAATTGGAGGCTAAGGCCTCAGCTCGTATATAAGCACCCTGTTGTACTTATATATTGAAAATATATAATCACTACCCCTCTTAAATTATATAATGACAAAAATCCACACCAATTTTGAATTTATTTATATTTTTTCAGTTGTATGTGTTTGTTTGTGTGTTTTATTTAATTTTCAATTGTTTATACTTAGCGTATCAGTTTCCTAAGAGTCAGTCAAGCAAATCGAAATTACCTGCAAGTTGATGAACAGCCTTCCTTCTTAAGGCTTGTAACCTGTGATTACCCAACATGCTTTGTTTTTTTTTTACAACTATAATTTTTTCACTTTGAACTTCCGTTTTCATTTTTCTATAACTGATTTATAGCCTTAAAATATATTGTATATACATATGTAGATTTAAGCTACCGCCAATGTACTTCCTCACCGGACCATGCAGCGAACACCTTCCTCACAGAAACCGTATGTCGACCCCGCAAATATAACCGCATATTAAAATATCTACCCAACGCACTGTGTAAATCGGTAGGCCGTTAGTATACAGTAGGCAAAATTTGTTGCTTAACTAAATATCTATATTGTACGCCTAAAAGTGTGTCGCCAGTTGTACGCGACTAATTATATAATCCATTGCATACTTTTGTGCGTGCGTTTCCAATCATTTAGGACACATTTGTGTTTGAAAAAATGTTAAGTGAATTTTTACCCCGTAAACTGTTTCTGCTGCCAATTTTGTTAGAAAATTAGTTATAAATATAGACAATTGTGTACGTGAATCCACTCCAACAGCGCATACCAGAACCTCTGCTCAACTCGAAACTCCTTCACACACACAATTCTCCACTACAACCATCACTCGGTTCGTTACATAGCAACTCGGCTTACGAAAATATTTACATTTGTTGATACTTCAATTGCTTTGTTAGGTTTGTTCGTTCCGTTTTGTGTTTCATACTACTTTTATATTTTTACTTTCTTCAGCCCTTTCATTGAGTAATCAAAGCCTTTGTTTACTCTCCCACTAAAGTATATGAGTTGGTATCATTTTGTTGCAAATTCACCATTTTGGTTGCAAATTGTGTAGTTTTGAAATTAAGAATACTTTTTTTTAAATCAGCACACACACATATACTTATTGACATATCAGCATACAACAAGTCTTCACTACTTTTTTGTTTTGAAAAATTCTACTTCATGAACACACACAATTAAAATTACAGTTAAAATTCAAATTGAATTGAAATGAAGTATATAGTACACCGAAAAATGTACAGAAATAATAGATTTTCTTTTTCTTTTGAATTTTTGTCGTATTTTCTACTCCTACTACTCTACCACCACTACTTTTACTACCTACTCCATTACCAACTACCTACTACTACTACTCTGCCACTCTGCTACTATTTCAACTACTACTACTGCTCTCGTTCGCAAATCTACTCTTCTAAAATGTTATCGATTAATTGACTGATTGATTGATTGATTGTTTGTAATGTTTTAATTCGAAAATATAAAAACAAAACCTGTTTCGTTATTCAACAAATGGCCAAAACCAACCAACTACTACCATCACAAATCAAATGAACCGATACAAACAAATCAAAATGTATGCGAAATCCTTAACGAAACTACTACGAAACATGTGTACCGTAACAACCGTTATGGTGGGATTGATTGTATTGAAAACGGCTAACTACTATCTACTACTTCTTCTACTACTATTTTGTATCACTACTACCAACCACTAAACAATTGTATGCCATCAACACAACTACAACAAATACTACTACTACTATTACCGTTATCAACTACAACAACCAAATTTACCAACAACAACAACACGAACAACGTAACGTTCGCACTAAAAGCCGAAATTATCTACCGTGTGGAGTTGCCAGACATGGAGCAGATAACACTAATCTATTTGGAGAATAGCGATGCTGACTATCGTAAGTCCAGCGGCTGAATGAACTAAAAAGATTAAAAAAAGAAAAAGTATTAAATAAAAAATGCGTAATA